GTGCAGTGGGGCATCAATCCGAATCTGTTTAGGCGAACACCTCCGGGAGAAAAGCTCTCGCGAAAACATTGGTGACGTCTAACAAGGCTCTCACTCTCCACGTGTAGTTCTGGCTGGCAGTGGTCCTGTATCGGGGGAAACAGACCGCATGTCCCACGCCCTTAGGCTACTCCTGCCCCTCTCAGAGGGTGGACTACTCCAACCAATCGAGTGCTTCCCAATCTTTATAGGTGTCTTCTTCCTTCCTTCCTTGAAGACCACAGGGCCACTGGCTCCCCACTCAATGCACTGACTCTTCTGCAATTCATGGTATTATAAGCTAAGAACCGTACGTACGGCACTTAGACCCGTTGCACTATTTTGTTTCCTGACAGCACCAGCCTTCCTTCCTAGCACCTACCTCTGCACAATTGACTCGTGCTTTGCTAGCCGCTTTCGCTCCCAGCTCCCAAATTCCCACTCATCTCCCCCCCCTCCCCTTCCCACCCTGTCCCTCTATCCTTGCCATGCTCTCCACTCCACCAGGGAGGGCACGATCCAAGGCGCCCCGCACCTCCCGTCGCTTATTGCGGTGTTGCGCCATGCATGCGCCCCGCCCTGCCGCTCTGCCGTTGTGGCGGTTGCACGGTCGCCCCGACACTCCACTCGTCGACCCTCGCGGAGCCCGCCAGCACCACTCGCTCGGCCTCCCAGCCTCCTGCTAGCGGTAATGCCCTGGTGCTATCAAACCCCCCCCCCCCTTTCCCCCTAGAGCATTCCACTCTTCACGGCTTCCCTTGCGCCAGCAGTGGCAGTGGCAGCAGTGGCGGTGGCAGCAGTGGCGATGGCGGTGGCACATGACTCACTCCAGCAGCACCTGATTCGCCACACCCTTCTGGCGGACTGGCAGCCACACCGCCGCTCTTCATAGGGTTAAGCTTCGCCCTTGGCAGGAGCTCGTCCACTGCCAGCCCGCCCGCTGCCACCAGTGCTCTCTATACAGCCTCTGCATGGCCACATGGCCGCGCCAGCGCCTCAACTCATCCTTTCCGCTCATGTGTAAGTAGAGCCGAGCCGAGCCGAGCCGAGAGCTGCGAGCCGCTCACGGCGCGTGAACGTGGAAACGACAAGCCACCCCTCCCCTCCCCTCCCCTCCCCTCCCCTCCCTGCTTGTCAGCTCTACGGGGTCAACGCAAGTCCCCGACGCAAGTCCCATTGTAGCTCGACAGGCTCGACGCAAGTCCCATTGCAGCTCGACAGGCTCGACGCAAGTCCCATTGCAGCCCTACGGGTTCGACGCAAGTCCCATTGCAGCTCTACGGGCTTGACGCAAGTCCCATTGCAGCTCGCCCACTAAGCCCCGATCTGGCAGGCAAAATGCCACAGTTGCGCGAACCGCTGGGCTAAACGCCCGCTGGCGCTGATATGGCGGGCGACAAGCCAAGGGAGGCCCACGAGCCAGCAAACCATGCGGCACAGCAAACCATGCGGCACAGCACACAGCGTGCTCATGCACGAACCAACCAAGGTACAAAGGCAGAAATGAAGATGCCTACAGACGTAGACAATATCTATTTTATCACCTGAACGGCACGGACTCAACCGCCAACAAAGCCCGGTAGGGTGAACGTTGCACGGGTTGGCGCACTCACCGCTCGTCACGGAACCAGGGGCGGTAGAAATGGGCGGCCCAGCTGTGGCTTTGCCGGCAAGCACCCGGGTTATGATGTCCGGGGCACGAGGGGCAGCAGATCCGTGAAGGGCTTGAGCGTGGCAGCGGCGTCCAGGCTGCCATACAGCGGCACGGCGTACAGGTCCCTGGTGGGGGCAGGCAGCCCCAGCACGGAACGCACCTCGTACCCCGTGATGCGCTCCACCAGGGGCCTGGGGTGGACGTGGGGCACGGAGCGGGGCTTGAGATGCGCGGATAGGGGGAGGTGAACGGTGCCGGGGAGGGTGGTGCAGGCACAGGCCCATGGTGGCCCATGGTGGCAATGGGGCCCATGGTGGCAATGGGGCCCATGGTGGCCCATGGTGGGCCATGGTGGCCCATGGTGGCCCATGGTGGCCCATGGTGGCCCATGGTGGCCCATGGTGACCCTGCGACAATGCAGCGCCCAGCGCGGCTCGGGCTAGAGGTTCCAACGAGTTGAGTTTGTTCACTCACCTCACCCCCCCACCCCCACCACCACCACATCTCTCCCACTCCCCGCGCCCATCACCGCACCCCCCCCCCCCCTCCCCCCTCCCCATAGCCGCACCTGTCATGGGCGGCGAGCAGCATGATGAGGGTGCCGCTGCTTGTAGTTGAGCACGCTGTCCGCCAGCGTGTTGTACGCCAGCAGGGACGCGTTGCTCACGCACCCCCCCAGCCCCCAGTAGCTCAGGTCGCTGCTGCTGCGCCGCCCGTAGTGCGCAAAGACCTTCATCAGGCCCACTGACTCCTGGCTTGTGAGAGGGGCGGAAAGGGGCGGGCAGGAGGAGAAGCAGGTGCGAAGTGGTTGGCGCGGGAAATGGATTCACTGTGAGGCATGCATGTGAGACACGGGAAAGTGCAGCTCACTTTGAAGGAACAGCGCACACAGACGGCACGCACGGGCACCATAGGCGAAGGCACGGGCACCATAGGCCGAAGGCACGGGCACCATAGGCCGAAGGCACGGGCACCATAGGCCGAAGGCACGGGCGCCATAGGCCGAAGGCACGGGCACCATAGGCCCGGGCACCATAGGCCGAAGGCACGGGCCACCATAGGCGAAGGCACGGGCACCATAGGCTGAAGGCACGGGCACCATAGGCGAAGGCACGGGCACCATAGGCCGAAGGCACGGGCGCCATAGGCCGAAGGCACGGGCACCATAGGCGAAGGCACGGGCACCATAGGCAAAGGCACGGGCACCATAGGCAAAGGCACGGACACCATAGGGGGAGGCAAAGGCACGGGCACCATAGGCAAAGGCACGGGCACCATAGGCAAAGGCACGGGCACCATAGGCAAAGGCACGGGCACCATAGGCAAAGGCACGGGCACCATAGGCAAAGGCATGGACACCATAGGCTGACCACACCATGCCTATCAGCACGTAATCACACCTCCCGTGTCATTCATGTCTGATGGCTTTCCACTCTGGCCTTCTGCCCTGGTGGGTAGAGGATCGTCGTAGCTGGCTTGAGGAAGAGGGAGGGGGGATCACAGGCGACAGAGGTGCAGAGGGGCGACGAAGAGGCTGCTAGGTGACAGCAGCAGAGAGGAAGAGCAGAGAGGAAGAGCAGAGAGGAAGAGCAGAGAGGAAGAGCAGAGAGGAAGAGCAGAGAGGAAGAGCAGAGGCGAAGGCGTGGCCTCCTCGCACTGGCCTCAGGTTGTGGCGTCAAGGCGAGGGGCTACTAGGCCTAGTGAGTGACTCACCTGCGCGCTGGCGGATGGCATGCCGTGCGTGTGAGCTAGCAGCAGGGCCGCTCGTGTGAGTGACTCACCTGCGCGCGCGCGATGGACGATCGCATGTCCTGCTGGAGGTATCGCACGCGCGTGCGACACCACACTCGCATCGCCTCCTGCCGCGGATTGGCGGTCTGCGTGTGCGCGAACCACACCACCCACGCGCACAGCCCCACCCATCCCGCCACCCACGCCGCCCCCCCAGATACCCCCGCGCCCCAGCCAGAAACGCGGAGCCTCTGGTAGGGCCCCCATGGAGCAGGGCCGAGGCCTCGGGGGCTCTGGCAGGGCCGAGGCCTCGCGCCCCTATGGTAGATGCCGCGCGCGCGCGGGGGATTGGAAAGAGAGTGGCGCTACTACATCTGCGCCAGCGGCCGCCGCGGAAGGGAGCGTGAGAGGACGGAAGAGCGCTGGACGGGAAGGAAAGGTCTGGGCGAGAAGACGCGGGAGGCGCCACGACGGCGGCGCCGTCCTGCCTGCGAGCGACCTTGGGCCGGCCCGGGTGCTGGGGACTGCCCGACTCGTCGGATCGCAGCCAGTGAGGACCTCGTTTCCCAGTGCGCACGGGCCGTGGCGATGCAATCTAGAGCGGGTGCGGCGGAAAGTGCGTGTGAGAGTTGCACGCGAGGCGGCAGTGCATGGCGAGAGCCGAGTGCGCAGATGGACATGGATCCCGCACGGCCGAGGGATAGGGGGGTAGCTCGCTGGTAACAACAATCCATGATTACGCTACTCGGTAATGTAGCAGATTCGTGACGGTGTGCTATTTGGGTTGGGTTGGGTTGGGTTGGGTTGGGACCCGTGCTGGGTGAGTGGAGATGAGTGGGTGCCAGAAGAACAGGGGAAACAGTGACGGCAGGGAACACGGTGCTGCCTGGGAGGTGCTGGGAGCTGGCTCACTGCTGACGTTTGTCAGAAAGGAAATGGGCAGCAAGGCACGCGGTTTGTGTGGAGCAGGGCCTAGTTTTCAAGCGTAATTACCCGGAATAGAAAAGCATTAAGAGTTGGCGCTGGGCTCGTTCCGGAATTTGAACGGGTAGAGTTATCGGGGTTTCCGTAATTTATAGAAGTGTTGCGGGGGGCTCCGGGCAGATCAGAACTCACTGGGGGGGCAATCCGGCTGCAACTGCCAAGAAGTACCCCCCCACCCCTCCCCCCCCCTACCCCTCCCCCTCTCCTCGCACCCAGGGTGGCAGAGACATTTTTCCGGCTAAGTCCCTAACTTTCAGAAACAATCCCACGGAGTCCCCGAACCCAGGAAATTCGGCTGTCCCTCACACAGTTATAACTCCTCCCACGCCCGCACAACTCTGAAAATTCGGCGAAGTCCCCGCAACCAAGCAAAAATGGCAAGTCCCTCACACACAGACATACCATGCTCCTCGCACCCGCTCTACCCGAAACCCAGAATTTTCGGCCAAGTCCTTCACAGCCAGGAACATTCCTTCCTCGACCATAGAGGAATTCGGCTAAGTGCCTCCCAAACAGAGATAGTCCTCTTACCCACACCCATGAGACTTAAAATATTCGGCTAGTTCTCATTATAGGAACATTCCTGCCTTTACCCTAGAACATAGAGAATTTTGCGGAAGAAATTAACACTCTTAACATAATCAGCCCAAAAGTACGCTCTTATTTTGGCACGCCGCAAATGTTACCCTGTTGGACCTTGAACATCGTGACATGTCCGAGTCAATGTTTGCTGTAACTCGGCTAAAAGTAACTTTGTACCCGAATCTGGATGAAACAGAAATCAAGGGTATTTATCTCCCGGGTAACCATCATCGGGGGTGCTGATGTCAGCAGTCACACGCATGGCACGGTCGTAACCATCAGATCGACTTCGCCCCAGCGTGGTACCGATTATCCATAGATGGTCACAAAATATATGTGGCGCCCCAGCGAGGTACCAATTATCCCAGATTTGTAACAAACAGTGCGCGGCGCATTCTCTGTTTGGTAACCCATCGTTTCAATAATTCCGACCTGCGACCACATCGACAGTTATGCGTTATAGGAGTGTCTCTTACAAGGATATTATTCGTAAAACCAATGTGTCAACTCAGATAGGCACGAAAGAAAAGCATTTTTATACTTATTACACATTCTAGTCGTATTTCATTCGTTTTATGACCCAACGGAAATGTAGTACATGGAATAATGCATTGTAGTGCAGGCAAAAGGGGACTATAAGGTTTCCCCAAAATATTGGAGCCTTGTTTGTTATGGATTGTTCATGGTCGCTGACGTCGGCATGATGGTGGAGGCATTTGTCGCATGCGAGTCAACCTAGGCTTCTTCATGAAGTCGGGGCGTGCATCATAGTATTATAGAAAGATATATTGTTTACAGATTAGTATGAGGAGGATAGAAACATGACATAAGGATGGAATTGGAGTTGATAGGAACCCTAGTTCCCATACGCCTCAACAATGTAACTAAATATTATTGCCAAAAATGGATATAAGTGGTTCCAATTCTTTTTTCAATATAAGTGGTACCCCCGTTGATGGTTACCCGATAGATAAATACCCAGCCCTGGTGTGGAGGCATTGGAAATTGCAGCGGGTTTGCTTTGCGGAGCAGAGTGCCCCCTCAGTGTCTAGCAGAGCGGGTTAGGGTGCGACACGGATGGGGCAATTTCTATAGTCCCACGGGCATTCTAGACTGGGTCAGGAATGTTCCGGCAACTCCAAGGCTAATACTCTTGTTGCCCTAGTCAGTCACCCCATGTTTTTAGGCGGTTGGGACTGAAAGCGTCCCCGACACTTCGCGCACCTCGCCACGGGAAGAATGGGATTGTAAGTGTGTTTGAATGTTACCGCTTTGGCATGCGCGGATTGCGACGGGGGGCTGAATTTGTACTTTTTAAAATACCTGGGGACTAAATTTGTACTTTCTGAATTTGTAGTTTCCCAAATACCCGGCGGACGAAATATGACATGATGTCATGGCAGGCAAGATCCATTGTTATCGTTGTCTTCTCTGAGAACAGTGCCGGCCATGTTCTAGAAACGGGGGTGCGGTGTCCCTTGCCAGAAACAGAAATGATGTGGGAAGCTTTTGTGAGTGAACCGAGACGTGATTGAATCGGGCAACAAAGGTATCTGCCTGGTTTACCTTTGGAGGCATCATCACCAGGGCTCTCGCTAGGCTATAGGCACTTTCTAGGTCATCAGACGGGCACTTCGGGCCCGTCTGATGATCAGACGACCAAATTTCCAATTTCTAAAAAATTAGAGGAATCGTAGTGCAATTTCTAAAATTTCAGAAGTTCCTAATTTCATTTTCTATGCTAACCTATACGGGCCAATTTGAGCCTCCACGCCCCAACATTTGAGTACGCTTCCCAGTGCCCAAGGTCCTTGGGCAGCTTGGGCGTGCGCGAAAAAAGTTTTGGGGGGTTCAATGTCGAGAGTGGTTTTGATTGGTGGGATGACTCCCAAAGCGATGAATCAGGGCATGGTTCTAGTAGGTGTCATCCCGAGAAAGTGTCATCCGAGAATGTTGGAAACCCATCGCAACCGTTACTTCGAAACTCAACGGTTGCGATGGGTTTCCAACATTCTCGGATAACACTTTCTCGGAATGACACTTACTAGAACCATGCCCTCAGTCATGCGGGCACAGGAAAGGGGGAGGGCCCTAGCGAGAACCCTGTCTGGGTGGGGGAGAGGTGAAGGGTAGATTGAAATTAAAGGGGGCGCGCGGGAGCAACGCCCTCGCAAGTTGCGTTCACACACATTGGTTGGCGGGCGAGGGCCAACCAGGGCCAGTCAACCCACACGAATTCCCTCCCCTACACGAATTCCAGCATATGTCACACGCTAATCTGGCTAAGGTTCAACGAGCGCCCGCACACAGCCTGCAGCACGCATCGGGTTGTGAGGGCACTAATTGGCCCTTCATCATAATTTTCCCTTTTCATACACCCTCAAGCAGGTATCGGGTGGTGATTTTGTAAGGACCAATCAGTACCCTCATACAACCTACAGAAATCCATTTCAGATGGGGAATTTTGCTATGTCTATAATATCAGAAGGACGCGTACACCCATTCTGAAATATCAGAAGGTTACAAAATCACTTTCTAGGGTATCAAAAATTCAATAATTGGGTTTTAAAAAATCATATTAATGCCTAAAAAACAGTCTGAAAATCAGACAAACATACGGATTTTGTCTGATGTCAAGAGCCCTGATCATTACGGTATCGACTGAACAGAGCTCGGCAACAAATGGAACAAGTTTTGGGTTGCATAGCAGTCCTAAACATCTGGTTTCCCATTTCGGGGCACTAGTTCTAAAAGTAAAATTTTAGGGCACCTTTCAAATCACCGGTGTTAAAACTATTGAAATAGCCTAATACGTTTCCTGTCTTCCACCTCGTCGATAAATACGAAGGATGGAACAATCAGAAAACAATTTTAGCCTAGAATGGAACTAATTGCAATTTTACAACCCTACATGAAACAAATGAATGCACGAATGCTTACGTGTTGCACAAAGGATTGATCTGGTACACCTTGACAGAAATGCTGCCTATTGACGATCACAATCTTTAGCTGAAATAGCACGTGACAGGAAGGGCATCCACCTTGCAGCAAACTCAAACAAAATAAAACCAAATCCATATATGTATGTTGTCATCCACTACGACGAATGGAACGACAAACATTTTATGCCCCAAACAAACAACACAGTAACAGAACACAATGCATGCAATCTGAATATCTCAAAACGAGTGCACAGATGCTTCAATGCTGCAGCCATGATTGATCTGGTACACTCTGACCACAATGTTGCCCAGTGACGATCACAATCTCCAACTGCAGCAAATAGCATGTGGCATATAATGCATACACCCAAAACAACACAGACGAACACGATAACATGTACATACAAACGCAAAACGAACGACGACATTCCAGTATACCAAACAAAACTGGAACGAACATACAAACAATGGACGCTAACACAATTAGAGAGATAGAGGCATTGTATTAGTGAACCACTTGTTTAGGGTGGCCAGGATCTAGAGTTGGTGGAACCACGAGTAAAAGTCAGCGGAAGACTTTACACCTTGTATTGGAAATGTCTGAAATGACAAGGATAATAATAATGAATAATACCGGTATATTTATAGTATAGGAAGTACCTATTCAGAATGTACCTGCTCGTAGTGTAACGCGACTATTCACGTGACATGACTAGTGACTATTCGTGTGACTGAGAGTGGCGTGACCCTTTCGGGTGACTGTATGCGCGAACCTACTGTTCACGCGTTGACTCGCTACTGCTGAAGTCATTACGCGCGTCCTTCCATATGAGGTATCGCGCTACTAGTACAGTCTAAATGTTGTATCAGGAATGCATAAGTAACATCTGTCGAGTATACTTTGACACTCCTCTTCATTCCTGTGTGTATGTCTCTGGGTAAGTGTCACCGCATTTGCAGATTCCAACCAGGTATTTCTTCGTCAAGGACGAAATCGACAAAGGGAAGGTCATCATGAAATTCAGCCCTACATAAGAAATGACAACTGTGTCAAACATGTGTATCTCCTATGTTTGCATAGATTGTATAGGGCCACATCTTAGAGGGTACAACACTTAGGTATATTCACATGTACTCTCTCTCTACTTATCAATTCATTCAGTTTTGAGATGGTATCAGCAGTAGGTCGGTCCCCGCCCGCCCATGCTTCCGCTCTAGGACCTACCCGCCCCTCCTAGCCCCCCCCCCCCCCGCGCATCCCTCCTCACGGCCCTCGCGCCCCGCGCCCGTCCTAGCTGCGCCTGTCCTAGCCGCGCCCGCGCGCCTCTCCTCACGGCCCTCGCGCCCCGCGCCCGTCCTAGCTGTGCCCGTCCTAGCCGCGCCTGCGCGCCCGTCCTAGCCGCGCCCGCGCGCCCCTCCTCACGGCCCTCGCGCCCCTCCTTACGGCCCTTGCGCCCCGCGCGCCCCCTCCCCTTGGCCCTAGCGCCCGTCCTAGCTGGCCCCGTGCCCACCCTAGCGGCCCTCGTGCCTGCCCTAGTGGCCCCCCGTGCCCGCCCTAGCGGCCCCCTGCGCCAGTCCTAGCCGGCCCCGTGCCCGCCCTAGCGGCCTCCGCGCCCGCCCTCTCGGCCCCTTGGGCCCGTTCCTGCCGGCCCCGCGCCAGCGCCCGTCCTAGCGGCCCCGTGCTCGCCATAGCGGCCCCCGCGCCCGCTCTAGCGCCCGTCCTAGCCGGCCCCGTCCCTGCCCTAGCGGCCCCTGCGCCAGTCCTAGCCGACCCCGTGCCCGCCCTAGCGACCTCCGCGCCCGCCCTCTTGGCCCCTGCGCCCGTTCTTGCCGGCCCCGCGCCCGCCCTTCCGACCTCCGCGCCCATCCGCTCGGCCCCTGCGCCCGTCCCAGCCGGCCCCGCGCCCGCCCTCGCGACCTCCGCGCCCGTCTGCTCGGCCCTTGCGCCCGTCCCAGCCGGCCCCGCGCCCGTCCCGTCGGCCCTGCGCTCGTCCCGTCGGCCTGGTGCCCGCTGCTCCTGGCCCCCATGCCCGTCCTGCCCCGAGCTGTGTGCGGCCCGCTCGTCGTCCCTGCCCCGGCCCTGCATCCTCCCTGGTACGGTTCCCCATCACCTGTACCGCACTGCACCGTGCTGCACCACACTGCACCGCACAGTACCGCCCTGCACCGCACTGCACCGCCCTGCACCGCACTGCATCGCGCTGCACCGCGCTGCACCGCGCTGCCCTGCACTGCACCGTACTGCACCGCGCTGCACCGCACTGTACAGTCCTGCACTGCTCCTGATGGCGGCGGAGCTTCGCTTCGACGCTGAAGGCCAGCCTCTGGAGTTAGAGGCCTGGCTTGCCGACCTCCGTCGCCACCTCACTGGCCATCGGCAGGATGGCCACCCTCTTTCCGCACACCTTGACGGTACGCTCCCCTGCCCAGACCCCCCTGCTGTGCTGCCCGCTGACCCCACACCCGCTGAGCGTGAGTCTACTGCAGCCTCTGCCCTTGCGCGCTCTGTCTGGCTTTCCCGAGACGCTGTCGCTCAGCTTGCCATTAGCAATGCCCTTCCCCCGTCTGAGCGCCCTCGCTTTAGGTCCATCACTACCGCCCATGCTTACTTAGATGCTGTCATCAAGCGCTATTCCACCCCTCCTGCTGCCTCGGTGGGTCGCCTGATCCTCCCGATGTTCTTTCCCGACCTTGCGTCTTTCCCCACTGTCGCTGACCTTGCTGCCCACCTGCGCTCGATAGATGAGACCTGGCGCGCTGCCTGCACTGACGCACAGCTTAGAGCCCACCAGCCGCCCATTACCTCTACCCTCTACCTGCTTGCCACCCGCCTCCTTGACCGCCTTGCCGCCGCCCGCGACCGCTTCCTTAGCATTCACCCCGATGAGCTCACCCTCACCGACTTTTTAGACACCCTGACTGCTATTGAGACCCGCCACCGCTCCATCGCCCAGGCGAGCGTCTTTCAGGGTTGTGCCCCCGCTCAGTGTACCTTCTCCGACGGTTCTGTCGCTGTGGCTGAGACTGCTGCTGCAGCGCAGTTTCGTCCGGGGAAGGCCCGCCGCCCCAAGGCTGGGCGCGGCGGAGGAGGAGGGGGTGCAGGAGGGGGTGGTGGTGGAGTCGGATCGTCTGGTGCTGGAGCGGATGAGGGGACCCTGCCTGGTTCAGCTGAGCCCCCGCCTCCGCAGTCGCAGCAGCAGCAGCAGCAGCTGCAGCAGCCGCAGCAGTCGCAGCAGTCGCAGCAGCTGCAGCAGTCGCAGCAGCCGCAGCAGCCACCGCAGACGAGGCAGGCGAGTGTCCTCCCGCTCGGGTGGCCTGGCGCTGGAGGTGGTCGGGCGCGTGGTGGTGTGCGGAGTGGTGGTTCGGGAGGCGTGCGTTGTCAGTACCAGATCCAGACCGGTCCTCGCCGCGGCTTCGTTTGCGGTAAGCTCGGTCATACCACTCCCCGCTGTTTTCGTCGCCTGGACGACCTGTTTCGTCAGCGCTTCGGCCCGTCGCCAGACCTCCCGGACTGGCACAGTTTGCTTAGTCGTAGGATTCACATTTTTGACATGGACATGGATGCCATTGTTTCTGCTCTGCATGTGATGTATGCTGATGACTCTAGTGCGCTTCCCGCTTATTACTCATTGTCGTCTAGTGTAGGTGTGCCTAGCTTAGCCTCCCCTGCTGCGTCAGGCGTAGGAGCCCCTGGTTTGTTTAGCCTTGGTGAATCCGTGTTCAGCAATCTTCTGTCAAAAGGTACCCGTCAAATCCGGGTTTCACAGCCAGTTCTGCCAAAATTCACCAGTCGAAATCCGGGTTCAACCCTGTTTTCGGAAAAGTTCCCCGTCGGAATCCGAGTTCAGCGAAAACCTCGTCCGCTATTTTGTAGAAATCCGGACGTTGTGCCCAAAATGATTGCACGTGCCTTTTTCGAATGCCCCAGCCCTTAATGTACTGTCATTGTTTGTCGTATTACTCCTTCTTGGACCCCACACATGCTGCCCAAACCAGTTGCCCAGAAAGAAACGTAGTGGCATCTGAACCCAACACGAAAACGAGTACAGTCGGGGGGGGGGTTGACCGTCTTGGGTAACAGAGACATGCCACACATCGCGCGCAAATAGGGTCGACCGTTTTAAAACATTTGTTTTTGTTAAAGCGCGCGATTTCCTCCAAGAGATGAGTGCCTCGACCAGGAACTGACAAACAAAACCCAACGTCTGAAAATTAGGCGGGAAGTTCGATAAACTACACTGCACACATAAGACGGCGTTGTTACGAGTGGGAATAATGGGAAAAATAGTGTGTCTACAAGTGACGAGCGAACTGGCTAAAATAGGGCACGGATGTAAGGATTTTTCCATTCCTTAGCATGCCACACCGCTAACGCGTATCCCAACCCCACACGGCACGGACACCTGCCCTAGCTTTGGCCCGTACATACACGCAACACCGATCCATTTCGCATCACTCCGAAGCGTTCCGCGTCCTCGAATGCCTTCGTCGAACCCGTTCGATGACACGGCTAGGATTACTCCGGTGTTCCTATATTTTGCTTCGTCATTCCATTGTATGACATTCTATTATTCTGAACCTCGACATTCGATTCCGCGCTACTCTGGTGAAACACTCATAACATCTGGTATTCATAGCTACTTTCATGACCTACCCACTTCCGTATGCGGACTTCTTTTTTGTTTTTTTCGGGGGGGGAGTGATTCGCTCACTGAGCTGCAAAGCGGTCGGCCGCGAATTAGACGAATTAATTCGCCCGACTACGATAGCGTTTGCGCTCTTACCTGAACACGGGTAATCACGGATATTCCCTTGCCCACCCGGCGTAGTGTCCGCCACATGGGCCATGCACAGTTCGACGGGCTGGCGAAATTCGGCGCCACGGACGCTCGCCTTCAAGCTATGTTAAACGACAACGAGAGACTTCGCGCCAAAGTTACCGAACTTCGCCAGCGCAAGAGACTATGCGTAAGAAGCCACCCGCCCTTGAGGACGCCGCCAGCACGGGATGTGTCGCAAAGTGTCGCAGGAGTCCCGTGATGATGAAGTTGAAGCAGCAACGAATGCCGCCGCACGTGCCACGACAGTTGCAGCAGCTGCGACAACGGCCGCCGCCCACTCTGAAGCAGCAGCAACAGTTTCTGCAGCAGCCGCAGCTACACCAACTGTACCAGTGGCCAAGATAGAGCCGCCGATGCCGCCCCCTTTTAACCCCATGGACAAAAACACCACCATAACAAGCTGGCTTTTTGCGATGGATCTTTATTTCGATGCTGTCGGGATTACTGTTGATGATTAAAAAATCAAACCGGTTGTTTCGCTACCGAGGGGACCTGCACTAGATTGGTGGCAATCGACGCTAAGTAAGACAGGGACTTCAGCAGGGAACACTTAGGGTTTTTTCGAGAGTTCGGAATCTGCTGCCCGGGACGCAACGTCAATTTTTGGATCGACCGAAATTCGCAAGTGGAAAGCGTGGGGTACAACTCTGCGCGCACGTTTCGAGCCCATATCCGCCTCGGACAATGCACGCACGAAGCTGGACACCTGGCGCCAGTTGACCTCTGTCCAGGATTACGTGTCATCATTTCAGGCACTGTGCGACCAAATCACCGACCTATCAGAAGCTGAAAAAAAGAATCGGTTCATCGTGGGGCTCAAATCCGACGTTCGCTACGAAGTGAGGATGCGACGCCCAACGACGTTCCTAGAAGCAGTGATGATCGTCGACCTGTACGACGTCAATCAAAAATACGCGAGATCGGGTTCTTGAGAGGGAAATCGTTTTCGTGGCCAGGATCAACGGCCCTCGATCAACGGCCTTGTGGCGAACGATGAAGATCGCAGGAAGCGACAGTGTTTTCACTACCACCAGTCGGGTCACCGATATGCTGACTGCCTTGAACGGAAGTAGAGGAAAAACGATGATGGGGATGAGCCATAAAATGATTCTCGTCAGTAGCAGACGGGCCCCCTACTGATACGACTGCATCGCTCGAGAAACAGCATCTCCACCGGGTAGTGGTACCGGTACACGTTATCGATCGCTCTCGGACGAATAACGGTGATGAACCCGAGCATCACCCTGTGCCGGTAGAAGGAAGGGTTAACGGAAAAAAAATAAAAACCTTCATCGATGGTGATGCGAGCCACAGCCTGGTTCACCGACCGGCGACGAAACAAATAAATTTACCCTGCCCAACGGTGTCTGCTCGAGATCGATGCCCGATTGGTCGACGACACCCCGCTAGCGATACGCGATCGCATGCGAATTGTACGCATGAAGTGTGGTGACAATTTCGGCTTTAGCGCGCCGATGCTGGCGACGACACTCGACGGCTACGATGTGCTGCTGGGACAAGATTGGCTTCGACGACACAACCTGCTCATCAATTGGACGACAGGCAAATGCACAGTGAAGTGTGCGTCTGGTCGACAGACACTGCCAAGTTGGCGAGGAGCAGAGCCGATAACGATATGCGTCAATGCTATCACGCTGACACGCGCGGTCAAGAAAGGCGCGGAACTGTACGTCGTCCATCTGAAGGAATCAACAGACAACGATCAACCGACAGACATCGACAAGCTCTGCGCAGTAGTCCCGGAAGTTCTGGCGAAATTGATTCGTCAATTCCCATACATTTTTCTGGACGACTTGCCACCGGGCCTGCCACCAGAATGCCCTCGGGACCATCGGATCAAACTCGAACCTGGAGCGCAACCAACTGTCCGGACACAGTGGCGGCTGACGCAACCCGAGCTCCAGGAACTACGGGACCAGCTGGACTACTTGCTGTCCAAGGGGTTCGTTCGACCGAGCAAGTCCCCATTCGCAGTCCCGATCCTGTTCATACCCAAGAAAGATGGGGCCCTCCGAAGGTGCATCGATTATCGCGCCCTGAATCGGGTTACGATAAAATCTTGCTACCCAGTCCCGCGTGCTGACGAACTGATTGACCAGCTGTGAGGCGCTCGTTATTTCTCGATGTTCGACCTTCGCGACGGTTACCATTAGACTCGAGTATTCGCCGACGACTGCCACAAGACCGCATTTCGTACTCGCTACGGGAGTTACAAATACACTGTCATGCCGTTCGAGTTAACGAATGCCCCCTCGACGTTCCAGCTGACGATGAAGAGGGTATTCCGGGATCTACTCGATAAATGCGTGATCATTTATCTGGACGATATCCTGATTTACAGCACGACACGGGAGCAGCACTTAAAGGACCTGGAAGCGGTTTTTCAGCCCCTACAGTAGAATGGTCTTATCACCAAAGGCTCTAAGTGCGAGTTTTTAAAACCCGAACTGGAGTTTTTGGGGCATGTTATTTTGATGGAGGGCGTGAAGATTGACCCCGACAAAATTCGGGCAATTCAGGAATGGAAGCCGCCAACCAACCTCCAGGAGCTACAATCATTTTTTGGGTTCGTCAATCATGTGCGCCGGTTTATACCCAACATGGTGGGGTTAACTTGAGCACTAACTGACCTACTTCATAAGGGAGCTGATTATCAGTAGGGGGGGAAGCAGCAAGCTGCGTTTGACGGATAAAAAAAATGTTTTAATCTCGTCACCAATACATCGGATTGCTGACCCAGAACGACCGTTCGAAGTCGTGACTGACGCAAGTGACATCGCCATCAGAGCAGTCGTGCTACAGGATTTTGGCGACAGTTCAGCCAATCGCGTACGAGTCGCGAAAGTTACAGTCGGCCAAGCGAAATTATCCCATACACGATAAAGAAATGCTGGCGATCATGCACGCATTCAAGATCTGGCGATGCTGCCTGACGGGAGCCGACGTGACTGCACAAACATATCACAAATCCCTACAGTACTTGCGAGCGCAACCGAATCTCAACCCGTGGTAGATTTGCTGGTTGGATTATCTGGAGTCGAACTTCACGTATCAAATCACGTACAAGAAGGGCGCCAACAACATTGCTGACGCCCTCTCCAGACCATCTGCCCAAACCGCGGCTGTACTAATCGCCCAGACGAACCCTTTGCGGAGCCGACTATTTACCCACGGATATTCGACCGATCTCTTTTTCGTAAACAACGGCCACCATTAAGTCATCACCAATATAAGTATAAGGAGCACCTATGCCAACAGAAAATTGGCACAGCATCACAAGACGGTGCCCGCCATCTGCCATCAGAAATTGACGATGATGACGTCGTCGAAGTTTGCCAACCTCATCCTCGTGGGGACCAATCGGCTCTTCACATCCTCGGACTTGCTGTCGCAGTTCATCAACCAACGACCGGGATCGAACAGAAAACAGTCAAGCATGCCCTCTCCGGCTCTGATACTGACAAGTGGCAAACATCTATGGATGCAGAGGTAGCAGCTCTCGAGAAGCGGGAAACGTGGAAACTCGTTCCAAGCGATGCAGCACACTGCAAGAAAATTCTTTTGGGCAAGTGGGTCTTTCGCATAGAGACAAATGCAGCGGGTGAACCAGACAGATTCAAGGGAAAATGGGTCGTTCGAGGTTTCGAACAAACCCACGGCATCGATTACGACCAGACTTTTGCTCCGGTCAGCCGTCATACCTCAGTTCGAATTCTTCTCGCCATTGCTGCCAGCCGCCACCTTCCACTTCGCCAACTAGACGTTAAAATTGTGTTTTTATACGCATACGTCGATGCAGATATGTTCATCGAACTCCCTCACAATTACGGCGACGGACTCCACATCTGCAATTTACTTAAATCACTCTACGGCATCAAACAGGCTCCTCGCGTGGGGCAGCAGCATGTTCACAAAGTGCTGATTTCACTCGACTTCGTGCAGCTGACCCACGATTCTGGAATGTACAGATTCGAATTTCGGGGAAATTACATTCTTCTAGTCGCCTACGTCGACGACTTACTGTACACCGGCTCGTGGAACAGTCTTTTGGCACACATGGAGAAAAGAATTCAAATGATTCTTGAAGTGACTATTTCTCCAAAAGTCACCCAATTTCTTGGGTTTAACGTCAACTGCGGCCCCGATGCCATCTACCTTTCAGCAAGCAAGTATGCAGAAACACTTGCGAAAAAAATTCGCCATCGCTCGTATCGGCCTTACCACTCCATTTCGTCACATTTTGGTCAATCACACGCCTGATACTACCCCACTTACCACCTATGAGCATCAGCTTTACCAGCAGCAGCTCGGGTGTCTTCTATTTGCAGCTGTTACATCCCGCCCATGTCTTGCCAACATCATGAGTCAGCTCGCGCAGTAACTGCGCCAACCTGAAGGGAAGAATATGGCCGATCTTCGTCGAGCCCTCCAATATTTCATTTCTACTCCTACAATCGGCATCAGCTACACGACAAACACTGCAGCAATTTTTCGACTGACTGGATACATTGATGCGGATCACGCTGCTAACCCCGACAATAGGCATTTGCGTACAAGGTTCATATTCAAACTTGAACCGGGTGGTGTCATTTCGAACTCAACAAAACAGGAAGTCATCGCATTTTCGTCAGCCGAAACAGAATAAGTCCAGCAAGCTCTGCAGTTCGTGAAGGACTCTATCTTCAAGAGTTACTTCAAGAGGCAAACATCGCAATGACACGTAGCTTCAAGTTATTCTGTGACAACCAGAGCGCAATCAAGATTGCAAACAAGCCCAGCTTCGTCAACAGGACAAAACACATCGCCCTCCGTTATAGTGGTGGAAACAATTGTCCGTATGTTTTGCATTAATTTGGGTGCTTAGGCTTTAAGACCACTATATATTAAGTATGTCTCTTGGTAAGTACCACTTTAAGTACCACTTCAATACTCCTCTTTATTCCTGAGTGTATGTCTCTGGGTAAGTGTCGCCACATTTGCAGATTCCAACCAGGTTGGAGCAGTACTGAAACTTGCCGCATGAGAGTTTCTTCGTCAGGACATCAGTTTCTCAAAACTGAATGAATTGATAAGTAGAGAGAGAGTACAGGTGAATATACCTAAGTGTTGTACCCTCTAAGAGGTGGCCCTATACAGTCTATGCAAACATAGGAGATACACATGTTTGACACACCCCCTAGATTGCATAGGGGTAGGTCCTGAACAAGCAGCTCAGGGCGGCACTACTAGTCCAGCCACTGAGACAAGGGTCTAAAAGACCAGTCACAAGGAGTATAGACAAGGCAAGAACAAGACCAGGGCGGCATTACTAGTCCAACCACTGGGAGAGGACACAAGTCCAGTCTGAGTACACATATAAAGGGCAGTACAAAGTCAAGGCCTTAGCAAAAGAGAGGCTACAGGAACTAGACCAAGCTGTACACAGTGCCGCTGATGATCTTTAGGCGCAAGCGCCTTCGTAAAGATATCAGCGGTGTTGGCACCTGAGGCCAAGTGTACTACGCGAGCCTGACGTCGCTGCTGTAGCTCGCGTAGGAGGAAGTACCGCAGCTGGATATGCTTCGCTCTGCCCTCGAGTCGAGGCTCCTAACACAGGAGGATCATGGCCCTGTTGTCAGCGAACAGGACCGGGGCAGAGCTAGGCCGCTCACCTAATTCAGTGAGCAAGAAGGTCAGCCAGCGGAGCTCCTGTGCCGCCATGGCACCAGCGTAGATCTCGGCCTCACAGCTGGACTGGGCAACAGACGAGGAGCGGGTAGCTCTCCACGAGACGGCACCTGAACAAAGGCTGAAGCAGAAGCCCTGGGAAGACCTGAGTGTCTCGGCATCGTCTGCCCAAGAAGCGTCTGTGTGTCCAGTAAGGACCACTAGCCTACGTCCTCCTAGCACTAACCCCATGCCTGATGTACTAGCAAGATAACGCAAAACCCTCTTAGCGGCAGACCAGTGCTGCGGTCGGTGTGTGCCTGTGGCCACAAAGCGAGCCAGGATATGCGAGATCTGGGTGAGTGCAAGTCATCAGGTACATGAGGCAACCCACCAGCTCTGCGTAGGGGCCACTGGGCTCTACCGACTCTTCAGAAACTGGAGCAGAGAGTCTGTGGTCTACAGGAAGAGGGGTGGGCTGTGCGGAGGAGAACTGAAGGCTGAACCTCTGAAGGACCTGGCACACCAAGTGTGACTGAGTCAAGGTGATGGTGCGCGCTGCTCTGTCCCTGGAGATCTGCAAGCCAAGGTAACGGCGCAGTTCTCCAAGGTCAGTGCAGGTGTGTCTCTTCAGCAGCTCTGCCTTCACGGAGGCTAGTGCGTCCCTGTCTGCTGTGGCAAAGACCAGGTCGTCGACGTAAACAAGGATGTAGAACGGAGTCTGGCCAGCACGAACGAAGAGTGAGGGGTCTGCGGAAGACGGAATGAACTGCAGGTCTGCAAGGGTAGCACGCAGCGTGTCGTGCCACTCATGGGGAGCCTGGCGCAGGCCGTAGATGGGGCGCCGCAGGAGCCACTGGGTCCCAGGAGGGAAGGTGCCAGTAAAGCCCTGAGGGCGACGCAAGTAGACCTGCTCGTGTAGGCTGCCCTGAAGGAAGGCAGTGGAGAAGTCGAGGGAGTGAAGCTCGTAGTCACGCTGAGCAGCTAGGTGTAACAGAACCCGAAGAGTAGTCATCTTCGGGGTCGGAGCGAAGGTCTGGAAGAAGTCCACCCCCTCACGCTGACTGAAGCCTCTAGCCACGTAGCGCGCCTTGAATATAGGCGGCTCTCCAGGACGGCGCTTCACCTTGAAGAGCCAGCGGCCATCGACTACGTTCACCCCAGGCGGGGGAACTGCGTCGACGAAGGTGCCGGTGGATCTCCGAGATGCCATCTCCTGCTCCATGGCAGCTATCCACTGCGAGGCCCAAGGTCCCGAGGTCGCCTTAGCGTAAGTGCGAGGGGTCGGGATGTCGAAAGCGTCTGGGTCACCCTCAGGGACTAGCAGCATGGAACAGAGATGGAGAGCAGCCTCGGACAGGAAAGCAAGCTCGAACTGGCGGTCCTCCAGGACGTCATTGCCGAGGGCAGGAGCACCCCCGACAGACGGAGAACAGGCAGGGTCAGAGACCAGAGCGGTGGCGTAGTCAAGGCGGCGGGTA